CCACCATGATGTGTAGGGATACTTTGTCACTGACCACCATTACTATGAAAGGCAACTACATTTACACATCTTTGTGCTTGGGAAAAAAAAAAAACAAAGACTATTCTATGAGACTTGCATCTGGCATGCTCAGAACTATTCAAGTGCAACAGCTTCTGGCGTCTTAAGCTAAAAGCCTTACACACCACAGCAATGAATTTGGTGATTGAAGTTTGGTTACATAACAGTTGCAAGGGTTGAACCTCACTGAATTTTGTAAAAGTGATTCAGGTTTAAACACTACCTCAGAGGCTGAACACTTGATTTTTGACTTTGGTAAAACGTGCACTCACATGTTAATATTTTGGTTTGATCCACCTCTAATTAGCTGGATCAAATAGTATGTAAGAACTCCTTTCTGAGCCTCATGGTGGACTTAACTGAACAAAAAGAGACTTGGGCCTCATTTGCAATTTTTATATTCTTTGTTGCCTTTCTTGTGGAAATTTTTTTTGTATGAGTTGTGTGAACCTTTTAATTGGGACCTTCCTACAGTAGGTGTAAACAGTGCTGGGACTCAGAGATCAGTGGTCACTGACTCTTCCTCCACTCCTCCCATCATCCTAGTTTGGCACTAAAACACCCCATTCAAAGGAAATATTTGTTTCTTGGACCACCATATGTTTTAAAAAAGGGTTATACCCCAGGGGTTCTGTATTAGATTCCAGAAGGTTACTTCATTAAATGAGCATATCAAATTTGATTGGAAGTTCTCATCAGCTTTCTGTTCCATTTAATTTTATTTTTATACAGATGAAGAAATTACTGTTACACCCATACCCACTGACAAGCCAACTACATTACTTCACATCTACTTTATAACCACATATAATTACATAACCTCTTGGTTTATTTTCTTCCAGAACTCATGGCTCCTCATAGAATCTGTTCCATCTGATCTAAGAGGCAAATTTTGGCCTAAAAAATGGTTTTCAAGACATTTACATGGTTTGGGTTTTTTCCTATATTGAATATTCCACATTTATTAACCACAATTCGATTCAAGCAGAGCAGCAACGGTTTCTCTGATACCGTCCGGAGAGGCTGTGTTAGCAAAAGGAAAAGACAGTCCCAGCGTCAAAATATTCTGCATAAATCTCATTATCATGGGAGAGCTTCCATCTTTTCAGCCCTACACTATAAAATCTCTCTTAGCACACTGTGTTCTCTCCACTTTGTTCCTCTTGAGTTACAGGCACCACAACCACTATCCCATCTAAAATTTCCAATCACATTCCTCCTCAAATCCTCTTGTTCTTCACTGATTTCAGAAATAAAGCAGCCAGTACTGCAAACTATTCTCACCTCACTGTGTGAGGGCTACCTTGGATAAGAATGGGGCTGGCAGATTATTCATGTCAAAGCACATAGTTGGGTGACTGAAAATAGAACAGAAATTGGTATCTGGCAACTTTTGCAGGACTGTAGTTTTATGTTAGTATAAACTCAATGAAATCAATTAAGGCAGATCACTGTAAGGCTGGTGTGTAACTGTGGTGAAACGGCTCCTAAAATTGTTTTTAATGCTCGTCCCAAGCAGCATTCTTAAACACATATTCACAGACCACAGGGTCCATTTGTTATAATTTATTACAACACTGGCATAAACATAGTATTTCATTCATGCCAAGAAATGCTATGCACCTCTTAGATCCCAGAGGAGGCACCAGGAAAAGCAGATGATCACCCCTTCTCATCATCAGTTCCTGATCTGGAAGAATTTTCACATATGATTTTATCAATTTTAAAAGTAATGATTCAACCCTGCAGCCCTTCCTCCCCTCATTTTTATTTATTTAAGTGACTAGAGCTGCAGAAAGTCTGATAAAAGTTGCAATACTGGGCTCCTTAATTCTTATTTGCCTAGATAACGCATTGCATATTGCAGAGTGCATGGTGAGAGACTTACAACAAGCTAGGGAATCCTATTATCTGTTAAAAAAAAAAAACAAACAAACGACTTCCATGTGGCTTTGTGGCTGCTGCTGGCAAACTGAAATAGCTGAGGCACTTGACCACCAGCATTTCTTGTTCTTTTTTAGCCAGTCACAGAAATAGTGGTTGGGTTGGACCATGACTGTAGATTCATGGGGGTGGGCAAGGTTTCCAGCCCAATCTCCTTGCTCAGAGCAGGTGCAGTGGGAGCAGGCTGTCTAAAGCCTCACCCAGCTGGTTTTGAGCATCTCCAAGGATGGAGATGTCATGCCCTCTCTGGGAATTCCATTCCATGGCTTGGCCACCTCCACTGTAAATGTGTTTTCCTTCCATGAGCCAGAATTTGCCATGTTCCAGCTTGTGTTTTTTGCCTCTCCTCCAATACTCCATCTCACTCCGCTGTGGATTGTTTTGCACAACATATAAACCCAGGAATTTCACTGAGGTCTACTGAAGGATGCAATGGTGTGGAATAACTTAGTGCATGGGCATCATGAAACAGATCACCACCTTCTTGCCTGCCACAACACTACAAAAATGATGAAGAAACTACTTTGAGATCCTCTATTAGAGAGGAGAGACACCAAAACTGGTGCCTGCAGCATCAGGACTGGCAGGGCATGTTTCTAGTGAGGGATGAAGCACAGTGGGGCTGTGGGGCTCTGCACAGGGCAGTGTCTGTCCTGCACACAGAGGGGACAGTGCTGCTGCTCATAGCAGTTGACCAGAAGCCACTTCTTGTCTGTAGACCAAGACGTATACTGCAGTGGCTGAGGAGAAAGCCATTCTCAGCAGATGTGATTCATGCTCATCCTTGGATGGTTGTTCCTTCACCTCAGCCTGTGCCAGACTGCATCAAGGTCACACACACTAAAATCACACACTTAATTAGGCTTTGCAGGGACCAAACTGAGCCAGGGCTGAGGAATCACCAGTGCCAGAAGAACGCTGCCGTATGAAAGCAACACGAGCATATAATTGAAATAATTTATTTACCACTAGAGCACCACAAAAACAGACATACAATGTGTTAAAATACAGAGTAATCGATCACCAAAGTACAACACAGCTGTCCTTTTAAGTTCCTTATTCTTTTTTCTCCTTGAAACCATGTCAACTGTATAATTGTATTGATGCTAAACACATAAAAAATGCTGTCCTACACCACCCAACTAAGTGCTCGGATTCCCCCTCAGCCCAAATCAACCCCTCAGGTCTGATCTTTCAAGGTGCTGAACACTTCCCACCAGTTCTCAGGGACTTTGCTCAGACAGTGGCAATTACCTCATGATAAGTCGTGATAAGGCCTCTGGCATGAAGTCCTTGAGCTGTTGCAGACCCATCTAAACATCGCTCAAGGGGGATTTACATCAGACCTGAGCAGTGCTTAAGATGCATGTTTCGCCACTAAGTAGAGGGGAATTTCACCCATGAGTTCTGCACATTGTAGGATCAGGCCTAACATCTTCAGTAATTAAAGGGAATTAAAGGGAAATAACATGCCTAGTAAATAAAAAAAAATATAAAAACTGTAGGCGCTTTGTAATAAGAGTATTTCAAATACTATCAGTGCATTTTGAGGAAAAAAAAGAGAAGTAAAAAAAAAAAGTATTCGATCTTGGGGTAATGACTTACAGAAATAAAGTTTTATACTTAAAATTTAGAGAAAAACTGCAAACCCAAACTGAAATTTTCAGCTGCGTCCAGCGCATAGTGAGTATAGTTGGACAATGATGCCATCTTCTATTCCACTTTTTCAAAGCTTCAAAACCAGTTTCGAGCTGCATCCCCACAGCAGAGAACTGCAAAAACGGCTTTGAGTTTTGTAAAACATGCTCATCCTCGTCTTCTCCTGTCCAACAAAAATACAGTTCTCATACTGAACCTGATAAAACTAATTTTGCTGCAGTATACAGCAAAATCCAGAGTATTTACTACCCTGAGGAGTTTCACTGAGTTCAGTGCATCTTCTCACCGGAGTAAGTCTGGCTCAAGCAAGTGTTAGCAGGACAGATTTTTCACTTGTTCATCTCAACTCACTAAATAAATCAGGAGTCTAACATACCTCCTCCTCTGCGCTGAGTCAACGGGTGGGATTAGATCATCTGTGGGGCTACGTTTCCATCCGGGCAATAAGCACAGGCTCTACCAAAGTCCCGAGGAGCCGCGTGTACAAGCTGCTGCGGCAGTTCACATTTCCATTGGTCTGCTGCTGAAGCCAAAGAAATTGCACTTCTTAAAAAATTGGAGCTGACAACATCAAGCTCAGGGGTGTCCTCCCCACACTGCTCGGGTCAATGACAGAAAGGTCCTTCTCATCCAAGAAGTACGTTTCTAATGCAGTTTTTCCAGCTTTGCTGCGCAAAACCATTCATCATGTGAAACTAACTGAATGTGCCGCCTTCATGATTTTTTTTTTTTGGTAGCCTAGGTTGGGGCTTTTTTAAAATGAAATATATTACATGGATTTTTTTTTTTTCACTCCCTCTACAATATTTAAACGTGTAACAGCAACAAAATCCTAGGAATCCCATGTTCTTTTTTCCTTTTTTAAAAAAAGGAGCTTTAATGTGAATTCAACTAAAAAAAAAAAAATTGGCAAACCGGCAAAAATCAAGGGTACGATCCTGCAAATTCTTACACACACCTCAATAGCACAAAGGGGCCTGCCGTGCTGCTGCAGAAGTTAAAGGCAAACCTTTGTTACCTACAGTAGGAGCAGGATCAGTCCCATGGACTAACTGCAGGGGCAAGCCCTTGCCGCGTGCGAGGTCGCCATGTGACCTCTGACCACAAACCGATCCCGCTCACGCCTCCTTTGAGCTTCCTACCAGCCTTCTGCACAGTGGTGAATGTCATTCTCTGCAAGGGTTTGCCTCGCCCCAGACAGGCTGGGACATCTCTTCTTGCAACACCTCACTCCCTGCCCATCTGTTTGAATGTCTATAGCCAAAAGACAACCAAAAGGTCTAAGGAACTTGAACTGCATCGCGATTCGGGTGTTACCAACGGGGACAACTGAGGAGAGAGGGGAGGAATGGGGGAGATCACTCTAATCCATCCTTTTTATAAAACAGAAAACAAATGGAGTCAGGTAGCTTATGTCATAATGATGAACAATATACAAAGCACATGTATAGCAACTATTATAAAACATGTATTTGTAGTGCAAGTCAAAATATAGGGACTCTACTCATACTGGCCAGCTAGAGGGAAACACATGATTCTGAGTGATCAAAAAGAGCCCCAAATTCAAATTCAAACTCATGAGAGCTGACAGTATTACAGAGTACAAAAATATGGTGAAAATTTACACATTACACATAAAGTACTTAATTTTTTAATAGTTTACAAATAGAGATCTACAGATATGTTTCCAATTAAGCTGGCTTTTACTACCCATCTATTGTAATACTCTAGGTATGGTTACATATACCAAAACAAAAAAAAAAATTCCATAGCATAGCTATACAGCAACATATTAAGGTCTGAAGATTAGACCAGTACATGTTAAATATTTCACTGGTTTACTAAACTGACATTTTAAATCATTTACAATAAAAAAAAAATTCTTATAGACTTGTCTTTGAGACTGAAACAGAGTGTCCTTTATTAGTAAATTATTCAGTATTTAAAACAAGGGTTTGAGACCTTACAAGAAGCCTCTCTAGGCAGCTGGCATGAAAAAGAAGGTATTTTATAAGGCAGAGTTTCTCAATAACGTCGTAACTGATTTCTATTTTAATTGAACTAAACTAACCATTACTTTTCTGATTCTTTTGAGCTTGTGTTCCTTTAGGCTTTATATGAATTTCTGGCAGCTTATTTGGTCTCCACTTTGTCCATATTGGCTGGTTTCCTTTTTTCCAATGGCGATACAGAAATGTTCATTTGATAGTTTTTACACACAAATAAATAATGCACTGTTATCTCTACAACTAAGAGGAACGAATGGGTAGGATGCCTATTGCGTAACAATACAGAGAGATCAAGTAAGGCACGGGACAGGTACAGCAACTCCACTTCATGGGATTTTCCTGTTTTTTTCCTTTCACATAGTAACACTAACAAATTTCTTCCAGTGTTTATTTTTTAAAAGGTTTTTTTTTTCCTTTAACTTTGCTTCTTGTCTATCTCACACTATGTGTAGGTGAAATGTAGGATAAAGCCCTTCAATGTTTTGCTTCAGATGCCAGTTTAAAAAAAAAAAAAAAAACAAAACAAAACCAAAACAAACTTTTAAACAGTTCAGACTAGTACCGCTTTTTTTTTTTTTTTTTTTTCCTTTTAACACTGATGAACCTGGGTTTTCAATTTTCTCTCTTTCCTTCTCACTCTTTCTTTTTTTCCTTGGTTACTTTTTATTATAAACACGCCATGCTGTTTCAGGGGCATCCTTTAGCTGCACTTGCAAGACTTTACGATCATGTTGGACAGCTGTTCAATTTTGGGTGTTTTGCCAATGTAGTAGAGGATAGTGAGGGGTTCCAAATCCTGGGACACGCAGCACGGAGAAGCAGAAGCTTCTGGATTTATGGTGTTGTACAAGCTGAGTACCTAGAAGAAGAAGGGAAAAAGGAGAGATTAAGACAGCTACCTCTGCCTTCACCTTCCTGCTACTGCACAGCAAATTCCTTTCTGCATCACTTCCTCTCATAGCACCTGAGAAAAATCCCACTGAAAGCACAGGATGAAGATTCCTGGATATTAGTATTGTTTTATGCTTCTCCACTTCAATCTGGTGTCACAAGCTGCCTGAGTGTTCTAAGGTTTTATCTAGACAGTCTTAAGCCTCAAAACAGGCACATGGCTAGATCTTGCCTTGAAAGGTCAACACACACACTGTATTGATAAGGAAAGAATAAATTGAAAGGTTTTTATCTGTGTCTTCACTTTGTCATTTGCCATTATAGGACTTTGGCTTTACAAGAGCACCAAGGGAAGACGAGAGCCCTTCAAATTTCAAGCACTCCTCTGCTCTTCCTCTCTGGCCACATTTTACTAAGTCCATTAATGCCACCCTGCAAGCAGCAGGATTCAAGCTGCAGTTACTCCTGTTGAGAATCAGCCATGGTGAAGTTAGCAGCCCTGGTGCTTTATGTCACGTTGGATTCATACGCACGGTTCTCTGCAAGGGAAGTATGTAGGGTTACCCGCTGATGATGCATAGGTATTTCTGAGGATGCCGTTAATGTGCTAGCCAAACACCAAGTGACCTTTTCCTAGAACTTCAACACAACATTTGCAGCTCAGAGAGACAGAAGATCTGTTCAGGTCAGCAACACTAACTACTTTATTAAGCTACTTCTGACTCCTTGGGCAACTATCCAAACCACATATTTGTGACCATGACAGTTATTCTTCCTCTTTCCTTTAAAAACAAGTGTTGCTCCAAAGTTTGTATACTACGAGTCCGCACCAGCACGGAATCATACTTACCTTATTTATACCTCTGCCTGCTGACACTGCTAACAGTACAATGCCACAGCCAGTGACAGCTACGACGGATATCTATACCTGGGTCTGTAAGTTCAGCAAGAGCATGCTATCATGGTATTACAGACCAAAGGGAAAGCAAGCTGCCCCTTGGACATGAAGAGTTTTCCCTGCTGGCTGACACTGACCTGGTGTTTTAAAGGTGGTTTGAAAAGGGTGAGACATTGTTCTTAGTATGAACCTGAGGGTGAAATTCTTACTTTATGACAACTGCAAAGCAAATGTCTGCCTCTTGCATTTACTGTCTAGACATCCTTATTGGAAGTTGAGAGACATAAGCACTTCACAGCAGAACACTACTCATCCTCGGGTAACTAACTAAAATAATATATGTAATCTCTAAAATAAAAAGTCCCATCTCAGATGTCTATCGGTTCTTCAGCATCCCAAACACAAGGTTCCTCCTTTGCATCTGAACTTTCAAAGTACAAGAATGAATACATCTTTTGAAGTGAAAGAAGCACATCTATCACTACATTTTCATGAAGTTCAGCATGGTAGCATATCAGTAACAATGACAAATAAAAAATGGCAGGCCACAGAAGTAGGTGATAGTCAGGTGGTACAACTCTGGCAGTGCCTCCCTCAGTGCCTTTGCTGATCAAACTCATTGTGCCATCTTCCACTCACACTCTGTAACAAAAGGTCCCTTCTCAGGCAGACGCCCAAAGCTACACCAAGCTCATGCTCACAAAACACATTCAATCCATCCATAGATCATATTGATGAACATATTAAAAAAAAAAAAAAAAATCTGGGCCAATACATTCCTACGACTTCAATACTAGCTTGAGGTCATGTATGAGTCTCTCTATAGGGCCACATTTCACCATCCTCAGTTGTTAAGATCATAAATACATGTGTTGGGCATTGGTGCTGATGTCACTCCTAGAAACATATTTCACCCTACAGTTACAAAAGAGAAACTGAAAATTAGCAGTATTGTTACTTACTCGGCTGTGCTGAGTATCTGAGCTCCATAAATATGGGCAGGCTCCTGCACAGAAATTAGCATGATATCCTTTAGGTTCATGTATCCATTTCCAGCCAAGATCCCTCTTGAAGTCAATATAAAGTGGACGCAGACAGCAGTTATCCTGCACGTTCCTGGGAAATAAAATACAGAAAAACATGTTGGTCATAACAAAGACAACACAGGGAATAAAAATAATCCAGTTGCCTATTCCCCCAGTGATGTTTTACAGGCAGGCAAGTCCAAGTCCCAAAAATGCATAATCAAATCACACCAACAGTAGTGTAACTGAAATCAGATGCTTAGACATGGCCTGATTTGCTTATACAGACAAAGCTAATGATTTCCCTAGAGGACTAGGAAGTGTTTTCTCCAGGTCCTCCTGAGTGGCCTCTCTGAGTAGGTGAGCAGAGTGGAGGTGACAGTTGGGCTCTAACTATGGGGCTGATGGGTCTGAGAATCATCCCAGATGAAACTGAATTTGCCACTGTCTCTGTAGGACTGGGAGAACGCCGGGCAGACACCTGCTGCACACAGACCCTGTGGGTCTGCAGATGAGGGTCTGCACTCTGTATAAATGTCAAGTGTAAAGAAATATGGTAAACAGCTGCATTATACCTCACAGGCTGCTACTACTATGTAAATATACCGCATATGGATGCATAGTTACCTAAAACAATAGGCAGCATCTAGAGCACGCTTCTTCCGCCGACTGGGCTGTTGCGACTCAAGTCTGTAGGAGGGTAATAACATTAGCAGAAGATGTGGGGTCTTCCCACTGTATTTTTTCCTATTGGACTTTAAAGCTTTCACATCACCACTGGAATATGTGTAGTCATCAATACCTTCAAAAAATACATTTTGGTGATAAACATTGTGTTGCTTTTTCTTCACAAATTAAATAAACCATCTCTTTAAAAATATTCTCTCAGAAACTGGGCAATGATGGTGTAATGCTTACTGGGGAAGTGGGGGCAAATTTCAACCCGAGATCCCCAAGATATTCACATTTCTCATGTTATCTACTCTATTAGCCCTCCCACAGTCACAGGCATTTAATGGTATTTCAGTACATTTACTAGAACCGTTGAAGTGAGTAAGAGGGAAGATTACTTCAGTCACTGCATCTGCATTGCTTAGTTTCAAGAGCCCCAAGCAAATATGTTTTTGCCACTTCATTTAGGGCAGTATTCCCATCTTTTAACAGCTATGTGCCTTTTAAAATCTTGTAACACCATTGAGTATTTCACATTCAACAGTTTTCTCTGTCCGTTTCACATTTTTCTAATGCCGTCTCCCCACACCAGTTTATTTAAATCTGCTTTTTTTTTCCAAAAAAAAAAAAAAAAAAATCAGTTATTCTAGCCCCTTCTTTTGTATGGGCATGTCAAGGACATTGATCAAAACATTTCTTCTGATGATGTCACATTTTGTATTTTCTCTTGAAACACGAACTGCCTTACTAACTTCTTATCATGGCAACAGCACAGGCAAAAGACTCAGTGTTCCAGCCTTTTCTGGGGGATCAAACAGCCTATGTTATGCCTGTTCCTAAGAGCCTTCTGAAAATTAACCTCCTGAGTCAGACAAGACTATCTAAAGAGAATAAGGCACACTTTTCTTTCTGTAGCATTTGCAATTACAGTGACCAAATACCCTACTAACAATTTTTAAAATACACACAATGGCTTTAACCACATGTACAGTACAGGTATTTACTTACAGAAAATATTTCAATGCAGCAAAACAACGGTTAGAAAAACTTATTACTTGATAAGGAATATAGTCAAATCCTTGGAAAACAAATGAATCAAATCATTATATACTTTAATAAATGAGAAACGTAGAAACAGACAGTTTTATATGTAATGGTGGATGCTAACTATAGCATGGTTCATTAAACAACATTTTCCTCTTTGAAACTGAAATTTTAATGGCTTAAAAACACAAGGGAGCTTATGTGTCCTTCATAAATTTACTCTCTATCACCTTTTCTGCTGTCCATAAGAAGCACTACACACTGCTGTCTATTTTTTATAACACCCACTCAACCCCATCTTTAAGTTTTTATGAGGCTGTCAGCATAAAAAATACCCTGTGTAACTAATAAACAAATTTGCTACCATAAATTCTATGTGCCATGGTAGGTAAGTAGAGATAATCAACATTAACTAATGTAGTTCTGTTGACTTCACCTGAGAATGAGACTTCCACTGTTGGAAGTAGGAGCACCCAGACAGGCACAGCATTGCTGTTTCTTCAACTCACAGCACACTGGCGGTAAAACACTTTCGGACAAGTCTGGCATCGATCGCTCAGCTCTTCCCAAAGCAACTGATGCCATTCTTCATAGTAATTTAAAATATTACTGATGTGACCAGAATAAAAGGAAAAAAAAAAAAAAAAGCAAAACAACAAAACAATCCTCAGAAGAGTAGCTGGCGATATGCAGCGTGCCTGAAGAGCTGGAAGTATCTGTGTATCTGTGCAGGTATTTAGAAAGACTGTGAGCCTCTACACTCAGTGAGGACAAGGGAAAGTGCTTCTGTAACCAAAGCAGACAACCATGACTTACTTAGACCTTGGAAATTTGTCACAAGTATTGTTTAGCACTCATAAAATGCACCACGCTTACACATAGATCTACTGCAAGCAGGTTGCATGGGTGCCAACCACCCCCCTAATTCTACTTTCTAGCAGTTGCCTTCTCTATGAAGCCTGAACCACTACAGTGCTAGGATGGACAGCAGTCAAAGGGTTTATTTTGAAAATACTTGGCAAGTTTTCTCATGACTATCCAACAGGGGATGGTCTGCTGTGCAACAGTCTTCCCTACATCCAAAACTGTACATACATCTGCCGTGCATGATGCAAACTGTAACACAGATGCTTAAGGACTTGAAGCTGCACTCATGGAATGAGATGGTTTATTCATTCCACCTGGTTTTAGAATAGTTCAGCTGATACAGTTTCACCCTTGTGCCTTCAATACCACTTCCTACCAGCTGAGAAAAAAAGATTCTCAAATGAGCAAGTTTTCAATCAGCTGAACACCATTTAAGGAGGCAGTAAGAACTCTTTGTTTCCCTCCTCAATTCGTAACTACCACAATATTTAAAAAAGGTTGGTTTTTTTTTCTTTTGTTACCTGCAAATCTTGCTTCAAGCTCCTCACTTTTATTTGGGATGATATAATTATTGGAAGGCACGAAGGTGCAGCATGGACAATGTAAGCTTATCTTAAATCCAAGGTTCCTGTCTGCAAAACATAAAAGTAAGTTGGTTTTTACACATGGCATGATCCTGAAATCCTGCTGAGTTAGTGGAGGAGCAGCTGGGGCAGGAGTGAAGGCAAAGAGCACTTGCTGTCACCTCTGTGATGGAGCCACTCATGTACAGCCTCAGTGACATCGAAAGACAACCATTCTCCTTCAGCTCTTGTTTTAACTACTTTGCTGTCAATGTAGCGCTGTCCTGGTGATGATAATTCTTTAGATTTTAGAACCTGCAAGAAACAATAAATATGACTGCCTACAGGTTAACATTTACCTGGTTTTTATTAAAACGGACCACCAACATTACAGAAGAAGAAACTATTGCAGCTCAAACCCCTAGGCAGCAGATGTAGATTCAGGCATGTTTTCAGAAAGACTTTTCTTAGGGGGTGTGGGGAGAGGAAGGTGTTATAAAAACACCTAATGAAATCAGCTTATGCTCCCAAGCAAAACAAGCCATCACATATTGCTTCCTGAGAGAGATCCCCCAGAAAGACTGCCCTGGAAACCTGTCCTGCAACACAAGTGGTCAAGAGATCATAGTAATTGGAATACCAAAAGAGGCTATTTTACCTTCTTCAGTAGCACTTATGCTGGCTAGATGCTAAAGCCCGTATAACGTAGTCTGTACACTGAAGATATTATATTGCCATAACTAATCTGTATGGTATGGCCTTACTCATGCTTCCAGCTTTTCCTCTGACTACAGGTACTAGTCATACATTAAACAGAAAATAAGTTACTAGCCATACAGGTAACCTGGGGACATGCAAAGACAGCCTGGTGTGTGTTGTGAACACACAAGGATTGCTGCAACAGATGATGATGCCAGCTTTGATGACAACTGTACTTGTATTTGTGTCAAAAGTTCCAGCAAAGCTTGCTACTGAGCATGTAATAATAAGATACCTGTACAAAAGAAATCCAGCCCCTCCCTTTCAAAACACAGCAAGTGGCCACAGTCTTCCTTCTTGCTAAACAATTCAGTGCCTTCCTACATGCAAGCACAGCCTGCTACCCTCTACCCTAACTCTAGGACAACAACAACTGGACTTTTGGCTGCTAACAGGTTTCTGGTTCCCTGGTTATTACTATGTTGATAGTTTTGTGATGCAGGAAGATGGAATGCCTTGCCACATTGCCAACTCCAATCAAGACACCACATGATAACATCAATTTGTAACTTTTGGCACGCTAGCTGTGCAACTTCATATATGGTTTTGGGTTCTTCCTCTCTTTAACCATCCAAGTCTGTCTCCAAAGAAAAACTGACAATGTCTCACTGTTTCCTCCTATCTTCTGAGCCCAGATCGACCTGACATCTAGCAAACGCTGCTGGAATAACACAATGGTGAAACTGCATAATACATATAAAGAAAAATATTTCAAAAGAGGTGTGAAATTATGTCATCATGATAAAATTAGGCTTCTCGTAATTAAACAGAAAAGAAGGCTCGAAAAGGCCAGATTCCGTCCAACACGTAGAATCTCTCTGTTTATTTCAAGGGAGTGCTGGACCTCTCAAAGACCAATAATGCAGCTCCCACAATAATATTTGTCTTAGGAGAAGAGCAGCAGCATGACAAGCTCTTTGCCTTCTTTCTGAACAACACTTCAGCAAACAGACAAGAGGTGCTGGTCCAAGTCCAGAAAATGACTACGTGCTGCTAGTAGGCAATGCTGAGATCTCCAGTAGAAACTCAGGGCACTCAAACATTGAATGCTTGGGACTCCTTTTTATAAGACAACCTTCAAACAAAGTGTTTGAACAACTGTTTACAGAGAGTCTGGCAGCAGCAAGGGGACTACCATTGCTCAGAAGTGCCAGACGGATGAGAGAATCAGTAATCAATGCTGGGAAAGTCCCAGAGAAGTACAAATATAACTTTGCCTTCCCTTTGGTCTTTATCAGGTCAACTCAAGTGTTTCTGAGGATGTAATGCAGCTGTCATTCTGCAAAGATGTGTTGGGGCTGGGGGGTGTGTGAGGCAAATGGCACACAAGAACTTGGCTCATTTCTCTTCCTTTCTGCACAGTCATATCTTTCCAAAGACTCCAGAAACTGCATACCTCAGTTCTGGCAGTGATGTAAGGATCTAAAAGTAAGTAACGTGCCAAAAGCAATCTCCTGATGTTAACTATAATTGGTCTTAGATATGCTCTGGAGACTTAGCTGTGCCTTGGTATCCAAAATGAAATCTCTTTACCCTAGTCCCACTGCTACTAAGAGACAAAGTTGAAGGCTGGCAGTGTGTACCTGGCATGAAAGGCATTTGTAAAAGTACAAGAAATCATCACTGCACGTATCCAATGGCAGAAAGAACATTCACCCTCTCCGATGAACAGAATGACAAGAAAAGTGTTTGCAGGTTTCAAAACTGTAGGATATTGTGGGACAGGGTGGACCCTGTGGAATAAAGAGTTTAGAAATTACCCATACTATGGCATCTATGATATCAAAAAGTAAGGCTTCTTTCCATATTGTTAAAGCTGCATGCTCAGGAAAAAAATTATGGAAAATGAGCTAAAATGTCACAAACTAAGTAGGGCATAATTTCCACAATTGACATCATGGGTTAAACAGGCGCTAGTGGTTCTTAAGCAAAATGCTGTTGAGTGTGATGAGTGCCGTACTTACTGAAATTAGCACGTCTGCTTCAATCTCCTTCTCTTAGGCTAAGTATCTTTATAGTGTCAGAATGATATATGATTTTAACAACCTGACTGCTTGTAAGCACGAATGATCTTTCTAGCCTTACCATTTCCACTTTTTTTCCTTCATTTTCTGTCACATCATTGCAAGTGTGGAAAGCTAACGGACGATTAAATCTTAGGCTGAATCCTCAGAGTCTATTTTCTCCCACAAAACAACTTGGTGAAAGACTCTTCACTTCTTTTCCTACACTGTATTTTACATTTCCATTCACACTGAAGCAGCTTCTTTCTTCATGGTGGTAAACAAGGTGGCCTCTTTGTAGGAATATATAAGAAATTTTTACAGCTACAATGCGTTCTTCAAACGAGTCTTCCAGAAATTATTCCATAAGTATTATAGGGTTTCTCTGCCATTTATCCCTTTGGTTTACTTCTTTGCACTACATTTCTGGTCTTACTTTCCCCATCAGTAACATACCTTCTTCTTCCAGTACATCCTCAAGACTGTATTCCTGAAAAACTTCTCTTTCAGTATTTCCAACACTTTCTTCCTATTAGGTGAGCTAGTTTAGTTGCAAAACACAGAAGAAAAGCCTTTTCTGTGCCTTGGAGCTTTTGTGCTTGAAAGCTTGTCTACTTTTTCCAACTATAATGGTTAGTCTTAGAAGAGATGTTACCGTTACCTATAAACATTGCCTCGCCTTACCTATAAACATGCCTTAGCTTCATGCTTAGCCCATCGCAACCACATCAAACACTGTTATCAGAAATGCTGCTGCACAACTTGTATCTGCAGGAACTAAATGAAGGCCTAAAAGTAGGCTTTTGTGCAAAAGAATTTTTAGAGCCCTAAAAATATTAACAAAAGGAGGGGAAAAAAAAAACCTGCCACAGGAGAGAAGGAAGATTGAGTTAAACTTCCCCTTTAATCCCTTCTCATTTCCTTCTGGTACCTTGTCCAAACATTCCCTCTTAGAGAGGCAGAAAGAGTTTGGTACGCCTATGGTTCATGACATGGATGGCAAGGGTATGTGGGGTGGGGGGAGTACTGTGCATCACCACCTCCACACGGACCTGACAGATTCAATCCCTCGTATGAGGGGGAGACACAGCTTCCCCGTGCACAGCCTCACCTCCCTCACTTAGAAAAGAAACATTTAAACAACTGCGTGCACAAGTATCTGGTGAAGCATAACAACTGTACAGGTGCAGGTGTGAGCATGCACACCTTCATACGTGCCCGAGTGAAAGCCCCAAATCGGCAACTCAAAATTCAGGTTGTGCAAAATCTCTGCAGCTTCTGAACATGGGCACGTTCTTCCAGGTGTTTGTTTGGTCTCACTTTCAACAATGTGATAATGCAACGTTGCCTTTCCTAATAAAGAACTATGCAGGGAACATATGCATATGATCCTGTTATGTGGGGACGAGCTGAATAGGTAGAAGTGTTACCAAATGGTTATCCACATACTTCCAGCCCAGTATGCAGAGTAATTTTCTTTCAGTAGCAATGCTCTAAATTCTAAGAACAATTTGCTTTTGTCTACCCTCTTTTTGCATGGGATTCCTCCCTTTCACAATTAGCCAAAATGCTTGTTAACCTCTCCTTGACAAAGTATCTTGTAAACTTAAGCCCTGCAGCCTAGCTAACTTTTCTAGAGGCACTGCTAACCTTCCCCTCATCATTTTTTTTTCTAGTCTGATCCTTCTGAAAAACACCTGGGGAAAAAATTAGCTTATAAATGCCTATGAAATATCTCTAGATTTCTGCCAACAGATCAAGGAAAAACAAACATGAATACAGGAATAATACAGTTAATTGCAGGAAAGGGCTCATGGAGCAGCCAGATTCAAACAAAGTATTGTTCTTGCTTGTACAGCTACACATGTTTAGGAAGCACAGTTGGAGATCTCAGTGGTGACAGCACTCATATGCCATCCCCGTCAGGCCTGCCAGACTTCTGGTATTTTATAAATTCTATTGAAATCTACTCTTCATTCAATCTTCAGGGGGAGACCCTCTGCTCTGCTGGCAAGGATTTGTCTGTGCTCCTCCTTGTCCATTAGAGGAGGCTGGACCACAATGCTGTCTTGGAAGCACACCCCACATCACCATCACCAGGTGCAGGAAAAAACTTCCGTTTTGTCATAAACTGGTTTCAGAGGAACGACATGTGAGTTTCCACAAAATACTCATCTCTAAATTACATCTGCCACCTTCTATGCTTATTTCTCACATCAACTGGAGAGCATTAATGAATATAGTTTTTAAAAATTTAAGTATCAAGGAGCTGAGATGTTCATTAATGTACTGGAGGACAAAATTGTTTATTTACACGTACCCATCTTTATACTCTCACGTAACTACCACACAGTTTTGAGTATAAAAAAAAGGATAAAGATTGTCTTAGTCTGTTGTAAAGTGCACTGAGAACACTATATAATTCATAATAAAAAAAGCAGAATGTTTGCAAAATTAGGAGGCACATGGCTTCTTTAAAAAGTGGGGCGTCTCAGAGGCTGATACAAGCAAAGCAAGCAGCAGCAGTTGGCGTCAGTATAATTATACTGGTTC